CCAGTGACTGCAATCCAAGGTGCCCTCACAGGGTTCTTGCAGTTCAAGCAGAAGAAGGATCTATGGAGTTTGATCTGCCCACCCCCCCACTGGCCCCATGTCCTATGGATGGCACACAGCTCCTCATGGAGAGTGGTTGTCCAAAGTTGCCGGTTTGCTTTTTGACTTGGTGAAAGTGTGTCCAAACACAAAGCTCACTCCTACCAAGTTGAGTGCGACCCTCAGGGCAATGAATACAAACAGGGACTTAGAGTTTTCTTCAACGCCCAAAGGCCATACCACTGAGGATATGATTGACAAGTGCGGCCTTACCTTGAGGATTTTGTTGTCCATGCTGCGAAACCTCAAGCTCAGCCCTGGCTTGAGAACTAAAGTGTTCAGGATGCTGTCCAAGCAGGATCAGGTGAAGATCGACTTGGTGCTGGAGAGGGTTGTCTTGCCAGCAGAGATGATGGGCATGGAGTATGTGGATGATGATGAGAAATCATCAGCAGCCATCGTTTCCATGGAGAGCAGCCCTGCTCCTTCTCCTGAGTCTTTGGCCATTGTGCCCTACCAACCACCCAAGCCCAAAACAGAGAAGAAGTCCCAGCCGTATTACTTGAGCCCTTTCCCTGCAATCTTCCAGAGGATTCTGGGGCAGAAGCCAAAGCCAGAAGCACCAGCTTCCAGTGGCACCAGTGCACCAATGGCACCAGCACACCAAAAGCCCAAAAGTCAGGGCACCAGTGCACCAATGGCACCAGCGCACCAGAAGCCCAAAAGTCAGGGATCCAAGAGCAAACCGGTTGAATCTTCCCTCCTGTCCAAGGCCATGTCGTATCAGCCCACCATGGTGGTGAAAGAAAAGAAGAAGGCAAATGAGAAGAAGTCAGTGAAGAACAGTGGCCAGAAAAGACAGAGTGATGCTGAGCCCAAAAGCATTAAGCCATCACAAAAGCCAAAGGAGAAGAAGGGCACCCACATCCAGCAGGAAAGCCAATATGAGGCAGGCAAAATGGCAGAGATCCGCTCCTTTTTCATCAAGCAGTACATGGAGAGCATGTCCAATATGGACAAAAAGGTGACTCGATCTGATGCCTCCAAGGCATGGATGACTTCGACCAAGAGGGCCCAGCTTCTGGCACAAATGCCTTTGCCTGAGCTGAAGAGGAGGAGGTTTGTTCCCAAGGACTGTGAGGAGAACCCCTTCCCTGCCATGATCGAAGCCTCCAGTGTAGAGTGAGCCGCTTTTGCTCTTGACCTTTAGTAGCTGTAGCTTTGGTAGCTTTGCATGGCAAAGCCTGGGGATGTCTAGCTAGACACCTTAGATGGTGGAGAAAAGAAACAGTTGCTCTTGTTTTTGTTAGAGTTTTTTTGGCAGCATAGCAGACTTTGCTTGACCATGATAACTTGAGGCTTGAGTATGGCAGACTTTGCATGGCAGACTTTACTTGAGCATGTCACACTTTACTTGAGCATGGCACACTTTACTTGAGCATGACAGACTTTACTTGAGCATGACCAACTTCACTTGAGATTGGCAGACTTTACTTGAGCGTGGCACACTTTACTTGAGCATGGCAAACTCTACTTGAGCATGGCAGGCTTTACTTGAGCATGGCAGCCTGTGCATGAGAATGTGTCTTTAGTATGGCAGTCTTGTATGAGCTGGGTCATTACCTTTGATGTTTGATGATTATGTGCTGTGTCTCCTCATCAAAGTGGCTAGGGTGTAAGGCATCTTTTCATAGAATCAACATAGTGGATCATCACATGCACAGAGTTCCCACTCCAACTAGATACCTTTTCATGGCAAACTCATGCAATGCATTTGAATCCTTTGAAACTTTGTTGATCTCCAGCCTCACACTTTGGCCATGTCCTTTCGACTATGTGAAGAATGTCGATTTCAATTGTCACAAATATGTTGCTTGGAGTCTAATAGTATCTTCTTATATGATTTTGGTCCCTCATTGGTTAAATGACTTTATGGCCATACCTTGGCAGGACCACATTGTGTGTTCAAGTTTTTTAGCATCTCAGGAGATCAGATGGGCATTGGAAAACAACAACATCTTGGAATGCACTGAGATCAAATCTGCCGCCCTAGTTACACATCGAAGTTGAGCACTCCTACAGAGCCAGACCATTGCTCAATCTACTTGTCCTTTCCCAATGAGCAGCTCCTACAACAGGCTCTGGCTCAGATCAATGGGAAACACCTCCTAGGATTGAGCAAGCCTGGGAATAACAAATGATGCTTGGGTAGCTATAGCATACTTGTATGTTTCCCTGTGGTGTTAGGGGCCAATTTGTGAGTTCAATTCAATTGAAGAATTATTGTTTGGAAACATTGGAACATTGAGATCATTGTGAATCTACCTGAGGTTTGGCTGCTGAAGTTGCGCGACCAATGAGATTACCAGCTGCCCCAAAAGGACCACCTCCTCCTCCTCCAGTGCCACCTCCTGGAGCTACAGACCCTTGTCATTGCGCATTTTATTGCTCTTATTGACTTATTGTTCATGGTTTTGACCACTGGTGAGTATACTTTCACCTGAGCATGTGTCCTTTCTACTTGGAGTTGCTGTTTGTAAACCACACTGTGAAGGAACACAGTGATGCTGGCAGCACTGTGCAACTAAGGCTAAGGCGAATTGCCCAAAAGCTCCTGTGATGGCTCCTGCATGGCAGCCTATTCGCCCTTCATGTTCATCCCCTTTGACACCGGTCCATGCAGCTCCTGTTCATGCAGCTCCTCCACCACCACCTCCTCCTAAAGCTCGAGGACATATGAGTGTGGGATCAACTGATGCAGTTGCTAAGCAGGAGAGTGAACAGGAGGCATCTTCTTATGTGACTAGTCTACAGCAGAACCTTGTGTTGTTTACTTACTTGTGGTTTACATGTGCATGGGTGTGTTTTTACAATGTGTTTTGTTAGCGCGCTTGACATATCTGGCAGGCAAAAGCAGGTGCTGTGAAGAAGGAGCAGCTGGATGAGGAGGGTCATGAACCAGGGGTTGTGACTGCGAAGGAGGTTGCGGTTCTGGACATTTCAGATGATCAAGAATCCAAGGAGGCCTCACCAGAGAAGGAGAAGAAGAAGATAGACAAAAGCAAACAGAAGAAGAAGAGTAACAAAAGGCACAAAAGTAAGAAGGATACCAGCAGTGATAGGGCCAAGAAACTGCGCAAAGCTGGCAAGATTCTTGGACTGAACTTTGAACAAGTTTGTTTGTTGATAACTGATTGTTCAAGTTTGTTTTAACTGCAGCAAATGAACAAGAGTTATGTCAATGTTGGATTGAAACCATTGTCTGCAGGAATGACCGCATCAATGCCATGATGTACCTGATGAGGACGCTTCGAGACAGCACTTCTTCTGAGGATTGAAAAAGACGCAAGCAGCCTTTGGAGTAGAGTTGAGGACATGCATTGTGACATGATGTTGAGAAGCTGTTACATGAAGAAGATGTGACTTTACTTGAGAAACTTTTACATGAGGGTGTGACTTTACCTGTTGAGCTTTTACTTGAGGGTGTGGTTTCACTTGAGCATGGCACACTTTACTTGAGCATGGCAGACTTTACTTGAGCATGGCACACTTTACTTGGGCATGGCAGACTTTACTTGAGCGTGGCACACTCTACTTGAGCATGGCAGACATTACTTGAGGATTGTTTTACTTGAGTGTATTTTACTTCAGTGGTTGAGACTTTGTTTAAGTATACTTTACATGAGGATGCCATTCAACTTGGAACTGTGTGCTTAGTCTTGTTTAGTCTTGTTGTGAGTTGAAGTGCATTTGATATGTATTTATGAAATTTATTTCAGAAAACTAAAAATTTAAGAGAAAATATTGATGAATTCTTGATGAACTTTTGATGCACTTTTGATGCACTTCTGATGTACTTTTGATGTACTTTTCAAAAGTGTATACACTTTTGATCAAAAGTGTATACACTTTTGATCAAAAGTGTATACACTTTTGTTAAAAGTGTATACACTTTTGAAAAGTACATCAAAAGTACATCAGAAGTGCATCAAAAGTGCATCAAAAATTCATATAATTTTTTGACAGATTTTATGAAAAGTTTTGATACTCTGCATCATATTGTCAGCAAAAACATATCTAGCATTCTTGTGGGTTTAGCCTTTACCTGATAATGTAATGCTTTTGCACAAAGAGTGGATCAGCATTGTATGTTGTTCAAATTGAAGTTGGTTTATCCTTTACCTGAGAAGGTAATGCTTTTGCACAAAGAGTTGATCAGCATTGTATGTTGTTCAAATTGAAGTTGTTGAGAGTTTACTGCACAGCTGGCTTATTGGTTGTTGTTTACTTTTGCAGCTAGATTGATCTCAAAGAGCTTTGAAAGGTTTGAAAGATAGGCGCAGTAGCTTGTTGGCATGGCAGAGGAAGAGATTCCCATGGGCACAGTCACTCCTGAGGAGAAGGACGATGGTGGAGTTGAAGATCCCAGTACACCTGTGAAGAAAAGGCCAGCTTCCAAAGCAAAGACCCCAAAATCCAAGAGCCCAAAAGCAAAGAGCCCAAAAGCAAAGACCCCTAAAGGGAAGAAGCCCAAAGCAAAAGGAAAGAACAAGCCAAAGCCAAAGGCAGGCTCTTTGAAAAGGCCTGCTGCCAGTGGAGAAACCGTACCAAAGAAGAAGCCAGCAGCTCATGGCTGGGCAGCAGGGTTGCAGGAGGATAAGGAGGAGGAAGCACCAGAAGTTGAAGAGGATGACCAAGAGAATGTGGAGGAGGAGGAGGAGCAGGACAATGCAGACTTCTTCGAGTGCGATGAGGCCAAGAAGGACAGGTCGAAGGACAACAAGTTCAAGGCCTTGTTGTCTGAGGGCTCTCTGCCAGACTATGTTGTGCAGGCCTGGAAGAAGACCTTGAGCATGAAGAAGGGACGCACAGAAGAACAGCGCAAGATAGTGAACCAAGTCCTGGACAGGACAAAGGATGGAAAGCTCATGGTCAACCTTGAGAAGCCAATGTTTGCCCAAATGCGCGAGCAGTTCTCCCAAAGCAAGTCGAGTACCAAGGACAAAGCACTCCCAAAGTTGCTGTTCATGGGCAAATTCAACTTGAAAGATGAGCAGTTTCTCCAGGGCCTTCAGGATGGTGAGTTCTTTGAGAGCAGGGACAGCAGTGGTCGCCTTGTCTACAGTTGGACCCAGTTGGAGCAGGTTGAGAGCAGGGGTTCTCTTACAACCGTTTCAATGGCAGCCAAGCAGGAGCTCGACAAGAACCAGAAGCAGGTTGAGGCTGGAGCTTTTGACTCTTGGAGGGGCGGTCTTTTCTCCAGGGACAAGACAAAGGCTCTCCATGATGCAGCTTCTTCTGGCAGCGCTCCACTTGCCCTGTGCGACCGAGAGACTGAACTGGGGGAGTCTCTCTGGAAGAAAGCACAGGAGCAGCTTCATGACGCAAAAAAGGGCCTATGAGAAGCTTGAGAAGGATGTGAGGAAGGGCCTGCAAGATGTAGGTGTTGACGCAAAGGAAGATCCTCTTTGGACTACCTTGAAGCTTTGAATGTATTTAAATTGGAAAACATTTGGTGCTCTATTTTCTTGAACCCTGGAACATGCTCAAGTAAAGCTCTGCTCAGGTAGACTTAATGTAAGAATTCTCAAGTAAAGACTTCCTCAAGTAATCCTTTGTTTACCATGTGTTCTCAACTAAACCAAAGCATTCTCATGTCAAGGTTTCCTCAAGTAAACCAGTGTTTCCAACTTATGTTCAACAAAAGATTTCCTCAGGTAAACCAATGCCTTCCCAGGTAAACTACTTCTCAAGTCAAGCCTCACATTTTCTCTCACCCCTATCTTGTGTTTGGCATCAGGAAAGAGCTGGCCATGAGCATCATGAATGAGAAGCGCGATGTGGACCATGTGCTCAGCTGGAAGGAACTTCCAGATGGTTCTTGCCTCACTGGTGCTAAGTATGACGAGTTTATCCAAGGCAGTGGCAATAGGGCTGTGAAGCTTGAGGACCAGGTTGCTGGCATCAAGGGGCAGTTGAGCGCTCGACTTGCCAGGTCCAAGAGGACCACTTGAGCAGTTCTGTTACTTTAGAAAAGTCTTGAGACCAGACCCTAGCTTGTGCGGCATTCTGGAAAAACTACCTTCAGTTTGGAGCAGTCTTGAGTTTGACAATGACCCTTTGCTTGAACATGGTATGCCCTACTTGAGAAGGCCCTTTTACTTGGGCAAGTCACCCTTTACTTGAGAATGCTATTTTACTTGAGCATGTCATCCTTTACATGAGAAAGCCTTTTACTTGAACATGTCATCCTTTACTTGAGAGTGACATTTTCTTACATGAGCTTGTGCTTCTCTGCACATGTCTCACTTAGTGATTGATTTTGTATCTTCTAGACTGCCTTTTGGCCCAAAGTGTTCATCTTCTGTTGGGGTTTCCCTCTGACCACATGGAAGCCTCTCCTGCTACAAAAAAAAGAAAGAGAAAAGGAGGCCTGCAACAAAGGCTGAACCAAGCCAAGCAAGAGGTGCAACAAGAGAGCGCTCTCTGTGCACTTCTGATGACTTTTTTTGCCAAGGGCATGATGTCCGGTGCTTTGTGCCATAAGATTGCACAAGCTGCAAAGAAAGATATAGAGGCAGCCAAGGAAGGAATTGAATTTCCTGACCTGGACCACTTGGCAAAGTTACAGGAAGGTCGAACTTTGAAAAGATCAGTGCATACAATGCTGGCTAGGAAATCCTCTATGCCTCCACCCTTCAAAATTGACATGCCTTACAGTGATGGCACTGCTGAAGCTCATGTTCTCCTGCCACATGAGTATTTTGCTGCTTGCTTTGAAAAAGATGAAATTTGGAGACAAAGTATTTTGCCAGATGCTGAGAAGCTTCCAGATTTCTGGACTGCATTCCAGAAACATCCCTCAATGCAAGCCCATCCAGTCCAAAAGCAAAAAGATTGGAAAAACAAGTTTATTCCTCTGAGCATCCATGGAGATGAGGTCCCAGTAATGGGCATAGGGAAGATTTGGAGCAGGTCAGCTCTTAGCTTTTCATGGTCCTCAATGATAGCCAATGCCCTGGGAGGCCAATGCGCTGATATTATGATGTTTATTTGGGCAGTTTTTGAGAAGTTTGTTGCCCCTTCGAGCTCCAACAAGCCTGGTACAATGCACACATTCTGGTCTTTGCTGAGGTGGAGCTTTGAAGCCTTGCGGACAGGTAGGTGGCCCACCCATGATTTCAGAGGCATTCCCTATGACCCAAACACACCAGAAGGGGCAAAGGCTGGGAGTTGGCTGGCAGGAGGGTATTGTGCGGCTTTGGCGCAGTTTTGTGGAGACCTTGATTATTTTAGCAAGTGGCTGGGAGTGCCAGTCTCCACAAACCACTCAAAGCCATGCTGCCAGCGCAGATGTACATTTGCAGGGCCTTCCAGCTGGATGGACAACAGGTTGAACTCTCCCTGGCAAAGCACAGTCCTGACAGCAAGGAACTGGAAGCAACACTGGCAAAGTTCTTGTCCACTCTTTGATTTGCCAGGGATGACTGCACACAGTGTGGCTCTTGATTTGATGCACAACTTCTTCCTTGGTTGGCTTCAATTTGCTTACGGCAGCGTCTTTTACCTGTTGACCCATGAGTGTTTGGATGATGAGCCACTCCAAAATTTGCTCACAGTGGGCCGCTTCATCAAATCTTTTCAGAAAACTGACAACACACGCCACAAGTACAGGCAAAGGCTCACTAAGCTCACTATGTTTGTCAGGAAATCTGGTTTCCCCAAACTGAAAGGAAGGGCAGCAGATATTATGGGCTTGGACATGGCCATGAAAAGTTGTTGGGAGGAGTACAAAGACCCAACCAATGAGCACCTGTGGCCCTGTTTAGTATAATTTTTCTTTTTGTTTTTCCACAGAACAATGTTACCTTTCTTTAGCAATCTTTTGCCACAAATACCACTCAGGCAACACCAGCTCATCTCTCTCTTCTTGGAGCTGAATGTTGACATTCAAAGCATGTTGAGAGAATATGCTCCCAAGTATGGCTACATGTGTGTGCCTGAACCACAGTACAGCCAACTAGTGACCAAAGGCCTTCAAATGGCACAGGTGCATGTCCAACTGCGTGATTATTTTGCCACTGAGGAGACGCCATTGTTTAATATGACCTCGAAGACACATTTCTGTATACACAGCTTTCTTCTTTCAAACTCGATACACCCCTCAGTCACATGGTGCTTCAAAGGAGAGGAAACAATGAGGGCTGTACAGACCTTGATGAAAAGCTGCCTTGCAGGCAACAAGCACTGGGGGGCAACCAAGGTGGCCAGTCTCAAGTACAGGCACCTGTTGCACCTCAGGAAAAAAATGCTTAAGTTAGAGGAAGTTTTCTGGAACAGCAGCTGGCCAAAAAGTAGCAGCCCAAAACACTGTGTGGCCACATGTTCTTCCAAATGGGAACCGTGTTTACCTGAGTATGTCTGCTTTCAGTTTCACCCAAGTCATTTTTCTTGTGCTTGTCTTTCCTGTGTGCTTATACCTGAGTGTATGCGCTTGTGGTTTTATCCAAATGTCTCTACTTGTGGCTATATGTCTTACAAATTACTTTCTTCAAAAGATGTGTTTTAGATGCAGTTTTGAATATTTGCAAATCAAAAAGTAATGAAAAAATAGGAAAAACCCTTAGTGAAGACCAACCTAAATAAATTTAGGTTGTACCTAAATCAAATTTACATTTACTAACCCATTTACACTTTTTGCCACCTAAATTCATCAATTTACGTAAATCCAATAAAAATGTAAATTTACTAATTTCGGTGACTTAGGGTAATCTGGTGCTGCTTAACCGCCTTCGACTTGCCCTTGCCAGAAGGCTTCGATCCGCCTTTGCCTTTGGCACCCTGAGCCTTTGGCTTCGGGGTAGGCACGGCTTTGCCTGCAGGCCTCTTCATTGGCCCAGGAATCTTAGGAGTGGTTTCCAGCAACACCGCTGCCTCTGGCTGGTTCACCTCGAGCATGGCCTTGTTGGGAGACATTTCCCCTTCATGCCCATTTTCCTTTGTAGAGCTCTGAGGGCCAGGTTGCTTGTCCTCAATGGCCTGCAACGGTGCTGCTGCAGGAGCTGCAGCGTGAGCACTTGATGCATGAGTGGCAGGATCAGGCATCAACATCTTGACCTTTGGTGCCGCCGCAGGACGAAAATTGCCCAAACCCACACCAGAGCCACGAGCATCTGGGTTACTGCCTGAGTGCCACATCATTTGGTTCATTTGCTGCATCAGCATCATCATCATATTTTGCATTGCTGGCTGGGCATCTTGCTGAAACTCCACCATAGGTAACGCCTTCGGGTTCATGGGACCACTGAGCTTGCGTTGCTTCACCTCACGCTTGCTACCACGCAAACTCACATCCTGCTGGATCACACTGTCTTCATCCAGCCTCACTGGCTGGTCTTCATCTCCGTAGGACTCAGCGAAGCACTCCAACTCACAAGGGTCGACTGGAAAAAACCGCCTTGGTAATAGTGATGCCTTTTGACATCTTTGCCAGCATGCTTTTCAATTGTCGTTTGTACTCTACACTGGCCGTGGAATCTGCCACGTCTAGCCCTGCAACTTGGGCCGCTTGGAGAATGCGTCCCCATACATGCTCTTTCGGCAAGATGAGGCCCACTGACTTCATTCGCCTTGCAATACCTTGGTTGGCTGACGTTGCATGATGATGAGTAAGCAGAAACATCAACCACCAGTATGCACACATCTGATTTGTGAACATCATGTCATGTACACGCTGACACTAGTGCAGTGAAAGCACAATCCAGCTTGACAGCAAGGGGTGCATCTTTGTCGCTCAAGCACTTCACATCCTTTTCGCTAAAGTAGTTCGCAAAGCTTTCAATGCTTTGGTTTTCTCGTTTCGCACCCTTCCTGCTGCCTGGGCTGGAATTCATCAAAACCTCATGGATCCACTTTCCCAACTTGTTCTTGTGGTCATCGCTCCAAGGACCCTTCGAGATCAATGTGACAAACTCACTGGCGTTTTCTGGAGTACAGGTCAGGTCCTCTCTACCCGCAAGACGTTTCACGTGATCATCCATCACAGCCTCAAGGCGCTGTTTGTCAGATATTTTCTTTTGACTTTCAATGAATGAATGTATGCCATTGATCTCCTTCAAAAACTCAGCAAACAGCATGGCTGCAGGCACACACGATCGCAAACTAGCGTACACGTGCAAGGAGGTACAACAGCAAGCTTGAGTCAAAGCACCTTTACATTTGTGACGAAGCATCAATGCATGACATGGTATGGTGAACACGGTACGATCAGCCAAAACCAACTGAACACCAAAATGCTTGATAGTGAGACATGACAGTCCAAGTTTACAGGCGTGAGAAATGTCACCGTATAAAGTCATGGCACAGCCACGCTACGATTGCAAACACGGAAGCAGCATGGGCTAAGCTCGCTGCTTGCACCATTGCTGGGCTACACTCGCAGGTGCATACAGTCAGTTTTTCACACTGCAAGAAAGGGTATGCTACACGGAAAGTAGCTATACACAAACTGACTATCCACCGAGGTCGTCATCGGCTTCAGACACATTCGGTTCTTCAAGGCCTTCTGAACTGCGCCTCTTCCGCTGTGGTGTCATTGAAGATCCCTTCTTCCTTCGGCGTCGCTTCCGCTTGGGCGATGCAATCTCTGCGTCTGGGCTGTTCCGGATCGCTTCAAGCACCTGCTTGACCGTTTCCAGATCCAAGCGAAAAAAAGGGGGCCTTTCACTGCGAAAGTGGTCAACACCCTGCTGTTTCCGAGCTGAAGCTCTACGGCGCCGCCCTTCACAAAGAACTGATCACCATCATGTGCAGCTCGGAATTTGTGGTCTGCTGCCACGACCTCTCCAGCTGATTCCATAGCCTGCCTCTGCGCTTGTGCGAAAGCTTCATTGCAGGCCTCACGCCTAGCAACGTACAGATCGTGCCAGATGCGCTTCTGAGAAATGACATTGTTGGACTTTCCTTTGTGCCTGTTCGCTCTACGTCCAGTTGTCAATTTGGTCAAGACACTGTCATGCTTGCTGACATTGAAGAAGGTCTGGCCCTGTACAACCTGGGTGGTTGGGTACCATGCAACCTTTCCAACCCTGATGGCATGGACAGTGGCTATGGAGATCTCTGGATAATCTTCCAGGGCATCAGCGTCCTGGGTGTCATCGTTTTCCTCACCAGATGCCATGAAGCGATGCAGGGACAAGATTGCTGCAACACTTTGAGCCATAAGGCATGCGAGCTACGCCCTGCAGTGCCAGGAACGCGTGCACAGCCCGCGTCCCCTGCATGTCTTTTCATGGCTATATACTGCCCTGACATCGCGCCTTTCCACATAGTCCTGCAGCCGGGGTTCGGGTTCACCGGGTGTGTTGAAGCGATATCATGTGTGGGAATTAGGCTGGGCCATCCAAACGCATACAACTACTTTGTCAAAAATGGTGGTTGGATTGAGTTTGAAGACCGGGCCGATCGGGTGTGTGGAACCGACATCATGTGTGAGAGGTGGTTTGGAGCATCCAAAAACTAGAACTACATGGTTAACATAGCACTACCATCTTTGTCGCAACTCATAGAACTACATTGTTAAAAACAAATGTGGTTGGAATGATTCTCAACACCGGGCGACCGGACCGATCGGTCTGCGTTGAACCGACATCATGTGTGGGAATTGGGTTGG